ATTTGCTCATTCACCATAAGAACTCGTCCATCATCAGTCAATCCTCCTTGCCCATAATACCACATCCACTCTAGGGAGACTTACAAAACGCGCCCCATGTCATAATGATCCCTAACACATATGTACAAAAATTCTAAGATGAAAAAAAAAAATGGGGGTGGGATGTGAACCCAATAACAAACTAAAATATTAACATAAATGAAAATAAAACGTTAACTGATGTTAGTAGGGCCCTTCCAACCCTCAAAATGCAGGAGACCACTGTATTCTGCCCACTGGAACAAAATCAAGCAGCTCTCTCGCTAAAGGGAGTGGGAAAGGTGATAAAAAAAAAAAAAAAAAAAATTCATACGGGCATGGGGAAGTATAAAGCTGACCCAGTCGAGATAAAAAGTGGGGATCAAAAAAACAAACTGGGAGGTTGGGAATCTCAGGCTGGATCATAACTAAAAATGTGTGGCCGGGGGCAGGCCAGGAACAACACTTACTCGCATTAACTAGGTACACCAAAACATCTAACCTAACCAAGGGAGGGCACCACAGGAAGCCACCCCGATGTAACGTAAACTTGACCTAAAACAGAAAATCAAAAAAAAAGCCCCGTTCACACAACCAAGCTCGCCTCAGTCACCCACCTTTCGCTGAAGACTGTCGAATGCAAAAGCGTTTTCTATCAGTTCTGATCTTCATCTTGAGCTGATGCTCAAAGAATCGATTCAGATCCTGATGAGAAAGACGGATACCTCGCAAGACTTCCTCCTCTCGCGTCGTCCATATCACCATTCGGGCCGTGGCTAGCAGCATGAGAAACACCATCCGTTTCACCCCGGAATACAGGGGCGACACATTGTCACACGCGTATGCGCGATCCATGGGCACAAGCTTTTCCGGGAGCGAGACGAGCCGTCAGCTCGCCGACATGGTCCCATAAGGGGCGGACACGGGGGCAATGGAAGAAGGCGTGCGAAGCCGTTTCCTCTAGACCAAGGCCAAACCGTTCACAGTCTGGCAAATCCGCCAAACCCCATATGAAGGCCATGTCGTTGAGAGGCAGCCGATTCCGAGCCAGTCGCCAGGTAAGCGAAAACTCAGGGTTTTTGAGGTTTTGGTTTGTTTTTTGTGTTTTTTTCAAGACCAGTGAGGAAACTCATCCTCCGACATGTCCTCTTTACTTACTCTATCCTTCCGTGTACCCCTCCACTACGTACAAACGATAGAAGACCTTCCTAGGCCAGAAAGGTCACTGGACGGAAAATAAACAGCCAACAAGGCCGACCGACAATTTACGAAAGAAATCGATTGAACCCGGGGTTTACTCGTCGATCCACCACCAAAATAGGGAGAAAAATGGTAATTGGTCGAGGGAAGGCGGCCCTGACCAATCCCCATTAATAATCGGATCTCTACCTCCTCAAAGCGCTCGTTCTGGAAGCCAACCTCTATAAAAAAGTTTGTAAAGAAATAACTTCAGTAGGCATTATAAATTTTCAAAACCCTAAACCACGTACGTGTATTCTCTGTCGATTTTCTTCGCGTCTCCTCCACAGAATGGAGGTTGCACGCGCTCAACACAGTGTATCCTGTTTATAGTCGCCACAATTATTCGAACTATCATTCTCGTGCACAAAATTTCGATAAACATCACACATTCTTAAAATGTAAACTGTACAAAACTACATTATCCGGGCCATAGCATTCGTTTTGGTCGATAAAAAAGGCTAAGAATATTTGGAAAGATTTAATCTTTATGCTCCCTGGCTACAGGGAGTAGAAGTATATGATAATAAATTACTGTCTATGGTTGCTGATGTTTGGAATGGCTCATTCAGATGCACACTATTATGGTTTAAAGGCATCAACGATATTGGACTAACCGTCGGTTTCTCGCATGTTGCTTTTCTAACCTGCGAGATCAACTATCCCACAGTGGCATCTTTCTAAGTTCATCAGATAATCGGCGACCGCGACAAACGATAAAGTAGTATCGTAGTCATTGATGTAGATTTTTTTTGCTGACTATTTTTGTCTAATTTTTTTCTTCGGCAGATCCGCAGTAAAATAAGATACTTTTTTTTTTCGGTACCTGATTATCACTTTCAATACAATTTTTTTTTAGCTAATAATATTTTTTTGTGATCAATAATAAAGTAAAATTTCGTTTTCGAAAATGTCAAATGCCTCATGGATAAATCTGTCGTGTTATTCCCTCGAAATTTTTTTCTCTGAAAATTTTGTTGTGCATATTGTTTGTTTTTTGAGTAAATAATTAATTTTTCTCACCTTTTTTGATTTTGATGTTTAAAAAATTTTGCGATTATTTTTGCTTTGTTTTTGACCGTTTTTTTACTACATTCGCTATTTTTTTTTTTTATGTAGAGATTTTATTGAAGACGATGCGAAAAAATTTACGTTAAATTTTCTTATTTTCCTTGGTCGAAAAAAAATTATCAAAATTTACAATTTATAAATCTTTTCTTCTTATCAAAAAAATATTTTTGAAACAATTTCTAACAATAATTCTATACACAATTTACAATTTCTTTTTTCTTTGTTTGTGTTTAAAATTATTAAAGGAGGAATATTGACTTTGCATTTTTTTCCATTTTTATTTAATTACAAAAAAAGTTGGATATAAGAGAGTTGTCGGGACCGGTTGAATTTAACTTAGACAAAAGATTTTCTTGAAATATTTTTAATTGAAAAAAACGTTTGTTTGTACCAAAAAATCTCTCTCATAAAAAGAATATTTATTTCTTCTTTATTTATTACTAGCAATTTTGACACATAATGTAACAGTAAGAGATTAGATCAAGTATCCACCATCATAAAGACAAAAATAAAATTGACAAAGATTATTGTCTAATTTTTTTAACAACAAAATGTCTTAGTTTTTTTTTTTTTTTTCTGAGTCAAATGCAAACTCAAACATTTTTTTCAATTTTTATGAGTCTTCCGATTGAATAAATTTTGAATATAAACAATTTTTTTGTCAATGGAATTTTTAAAGCATTCTGAATGTTTTGTTATAGAAAATTCTCGAAAAAATTTTTTATTTAACAATAAAACAAATTCAAAAAATGTTTGAAAATTTGAAATGAAAAATTACTAAAAATCATCATCCCATATAGGAAAGGTTTGGTAACACAATAAACAACCTGGGTTTTATAATAATTTAACTCGATATGAGTTGTCCCCTTTTAATCCCCATGTCTCTTAATCGTGTTTTCAAATTGATTTCGTGCAAAAAGAATTGTGTTTTCAATTTTTGGCGCTGTCAGAACCACCGCTACTTCTATTTACATAGTCCTTTGAATTTTTCCCGTTTTTCGGCGTTTCAAAACTGAAAAAAATTGCAATCCGATCCCTCTATATAGACCACTATTTATTGTACTATTTATAAATGTGGCATAAGGCCGAAAAAAGGGGGGAATAAGGACGGTCAACAATGTCGTCTTAAAATAAAACCAAGACTTTTCTCCACAACCACTGCCCTATCATACTAAACAATATTCCTTTTCCAAAACAACACATTTTATCCATACCTTTCTTACTACATCCACCAAAATTCCTCTTTCAACTCAATGAAAATCCTTTACCCCCGTTATGTACAAATATTGTCTGTGGGGGATGTCCTATAAAAACAACAATTTAAAAAAAAGGTCCAATGACCTTTTATACAATATGTCGAAATATATTTACAAGAAACTAAACAAAATTAGTGTTAGTATTAAAACCCCCACAAACTTTGTATATGGCAAAATATCAGTTAACCGGACGAAATCGATGCGTTGACTATGAAAATAAGGACACATTCAAACCGTCAAGCGCCGATCATCCATACTCAACAACAAATACGAAAGCACTCGCACGAAACGAAAGGCGCCCCGCATCCACCAGAGAACCAGAATCACTGACCACCCTAAACGAGGGAGGGACGTTGAGTTAAACCAAAGGAAGAAAAGTGGGGACATTCTAAAAATCGGGGGACCAATGAGCAAACACATTAGCTAAGTTTATCAGAACAGGAAAGAAAAACTAAACGAAAAAAATACAAAATCCTACTCTAACCTAATTTCGGGATGGGTTGCCCCTGGTTCAACCCAGGAAAACAATATCCTGAGGCTTCCGACATCAAAATGCCACTCCAAGTCAGCCCTTTATACGGTCGATCCGCCCTGTACAGGTGTAACACCTCTCTGACCTGCTTCGCCTGGTGATACACTCTGGCGCGATCCCGTTTCCGCGGTTGATCCGCCCTGTGGAGTTGTATCACTGGTCTGCCTTGGCCCTGTTTAGGGACACCGTCTTCGCCTGGTGATACACTTTGGCGCGATCCCGTCTCCGCGGTCGATCCGCCCTGTGAAGTCACATCACTGTCTGCCTTGGCCCTGTTTAGGGACACCGTCTTCGCCTGGTGATACACTTTGGCGCGATCCGTTTCCGCGGTCGATCCGCCCTGTGAAGTCGTATTACTGTTCTGCCTTGGCCCTGTTTAGGGACTCCGTCTTCGCAAAGTGATACACTTTGGCGCGATCCAACTCCGCGGTCGATCCGCCCTGTGAAGTCGCATCACTGTTCTGCCTTGCCCTGTTTAGGGACTCCGTCTTCGCTATTCAGCCGAACCAGCTCACGTTCGCCGACCAATCCTAAACTACCGGGCCAGATCAACCAAAACTACCGGACCAGACCAACTATATTCGACCGAACCAGCTACATTCGACCGAACCAGCTACGTTCGCCTACCAATCCAAACTACCGGACCGGATCAGCTACATTCGACCGAACCAGCTACGTTCGTCGATCAACCAGTCATACCCGACCACACCGATGTAAACGTGTTAATAAATTCGACACTTTTGTTCATAACAAAACCTTTGCCTTTGTCCCGTCATTGTCTTGGCTGTTCACATTTATCGTATACAAAAAACCTTGCGGGGGGCGACATCCTACTCGGCCCCGCAACAAGTGGTGACTTCCCGACGTGAGACAGCTAAGCGATGATGGAGTCGGCTAAAAGTGATTCTTTGGACATGACGGCTGCGATCATACCTCTGCCTGCATACCACCATAATGCCAAGAATTGGTTCTTGCAGGTGGAATCCATCTTTTCAATGCTACGCATTACTTCACAGCGAGCCAGATTCGCGAACGTAATGCAGAAACTCCCATCCGTTATGATGGACGAAATTTCTGACGTCCTCTCCGATTTGCGCGAGCATGAACCATACGATCACTTAAAGGAAGCAATCCTCAAGCTAACCGGACGTTCCGAGGAAGATATGATTCAAGAAATACTGCGGAACGTCACTAGAGGCGACAAAACGCCATCCCAGCTTCTCAGATATATGAGGAACCAGCTGGGAAAGTACAACGTGTCAGAGAAGGTTCTTCGAGGTTTATGGCTGGAGCATTTGCCTAAATCTGTCGCTCAAATCATCGCACCAATGACGAGAGCTACGCCTCTGGACGATTTGGCGGAATCTGCTGATCTAGTTTTCGCACAGTTCGACCACAGCGTTAACGCTGTTCGCGCCCCGACATAGCAAAGCACGAACGCTACGAGCCGAGTAAAACAGAACGGGCGTTGGCCGACCTTCAACGGCAAATTCAGGGCGCCCGCGGACGAGATCCCCCATCTCGCCGAGAAACCCCAGCCGAGAACAAAGCGACCAGGGTGTTTGTTGGTTTCATCGCACATTCGGCGATGGGGCCAGGAATTAAAAACCTCCTGTACACACCCGTCGGCCCGGGGAAACGAATAAACCGGAGAGTCGCGACGACTAACTCTTCCGGTGCCAACACGCAATGTCGTCTATTTTACGTTTGGGATCGACGGAACAAGTTGAAATTCCTGGTGGACACAGGTGCGGCCATCAGCGTGGTACCCCTTCAGAACGACCACCCGCTAGGCCCACCCTGGTCAAACTACGAGCTGCGAATGGTTCCGCGATAGACACGTACGGAGAAAGGACCCTTACTCTGAATATCGGCATGCGACGCGATTTCACTTGGACATTTACCGTGGCCAACGTAAAGGTACCCATCCTCGGCGCGGATTTCCTGGCGCATTACGCACTGGCGGTCCATATGAACCCTAGGACTCTGTCCGATACGACTACGAATCTCCGTGTCTTAGGTACCCCCCTACGTCAAGGCTCCACAGGAATCAGCGTCGCAACATGCCATGGTCGCGAGTACTTAGATCTCCTGACGCAGTTCACGGATATAACGCTGCCACTCCAAGTAACGGCTTCAGGTGACCATCAGACCCAGCACTACATCAGAACCCGAGGTCCTCCCGCACACTCCCATCCGCGACGACTCGCTCCGCACAAACTGGCGTACACCAAGGAGCAATTCGACAAAATGCTCAGTGATGGCATCATTCGTCCTTCCGATAGCCCTTATGCCTCGCCACTACACTTAGTGCCTAAACCTGGTGGTGAAGAATTTCGGATATGCGTCGACTACCGAAAATTAAATGCATCGACCGTACCAGACAAATATCCTGTCCCTCATATCCACGATTTTGCATCCGGATTGATGGGGGCTCGCATCTTCTCAAAATCGACCTGACAAAGGCATACCATCAGATCCCCGTCGCTGCGGAAGACGTCCCAAAAACGGCAGTCACAACACCGTTTGGCCTATACGAATTTCTGAAAATGCCGTTCGGCCTACGTAACGCTGCCCAGACCTTCCAACGGCTCATAGACGAAGTCCTGCGCGGACTTCCGCATGTATACGCTTATATCGATGACATCTTGGTGGCCAGTACAGACGCCGATTCTCACAGGCAACACATGCGAGAAGTCTTCCAGCGACTCTCGCACTACGGCCTGAAGTTGAACCTGGACAAGTGCGTTTTTCAGGGGCCCAGCGTTGACTTTCTCGGGCACCGCACCGACGCAGACGGTATAGCACCTCTGCCAGACAAGATCAGCTCGATCCGGGATTTTCCCACACCGACGTCCATGAAACAATTGCGACGTTTCCTCGGTATGCTCAATTTTTATCGTCGGTTCATACCAAATTGCGCTACCATCCTCCAGCCACTGACGAACCTGCTGCAGAGAAGAAACAAAGACATCTCGTTGGAGGAGATGCTCTGCACGCATTCCATACAGCGAAGGCTGCATTGGCCAATTATACCAGGCTTTCGCATATCAACGACGATCCAGAGACGCGACTCTTCCTGACAACCGACGCATCGGACGCTGGTGTGGGCGCGGTGGTTGAGCAAGAGTTCAACTCACAACGCGAACCCATCGCATTCTTTTCAGCCAAGCCAGCCCCCAGAGAAAATATAGCACCTTCTTCCGAGAGCTGCTGGCCATTTATCTGGCCGTCAGGCATTTCAGGCATTTACTGGAAGGTCGAGATTTTACCATCTATACCGACCATAAACCGTTGACAACCGCGATGAGTAACAACTCTGACAAGTATACAGCTCGCGAGATCCGGCATCTCGACTACCTGTCACAGTTCTCGACCGATATTCGTCACATAAAGGGGAAGGACAACGCCGTCGCAGACACATTATCGCGAGCGGAAATTCAATCTCTTCAGACCGGCGTCTTGGGTCAAGATTCCATAGCCGCTGAACAAAAATCCGACCCCACGCTGCAAGACGTCCTTTCGAATACTTCTTTAAAGCTTCGGGAGTTCCCTGCATCCTTCAGCGACGACACCCCTGTACTGTGACACCAGCCTAGCAAGCCCTAGGCCCTACATCCCACCGACACTTCGGAGACAGGTATTCCAACATTTCCACGGGCTGTCTCATCCGAGTAAGAGAGCTACGGTCAAACTTATTACCGACCGATTCGTTTGGCCCAATATGAATGCGGACATTCGAGAATGGGTTTCCACGTGCATGGAGTGCCAGAAGTGTAAGGTCCACCGACACACTAAATCCCCCGTCGGCACCTTCAGCAGTCCCGATGCACGGTTCTCACACATACATGTCGACTTAGTGGGACCGCTTCCGATGTGTCAGGATTACCAGTATCTTTTGACGGTTGTGGATCGTTTTTCGCGGTGGCCGACCGCCATACCTATAAAAGACACTTCTGCTAACACAGTCTCTAGGACCATCCTGAAAGAGTGGATTGGAACTTTCGGCACGCCCCAAGTCATCACGACCGACAGGGGGTCACAGTTCCAGTCGTCCCTTTTTCGGGAGTTTACCAATCTACTTGGCGCCAAGCACATAAAGACTACCGCTTATCATCCGTGCACCAACGGCTTAGTTGAGAGGTTTCATCGGTCCCTTAAAACCCCCCTGGCCACTAGACCTGACACTATCAATTGGGTGGACGACCTACCTTTAATTCTCCTAGCATTGAGGAACACCGTAAAGGAGGACTTAGGTTGTTCACCCGCCGAACTGGTTTTCGGTACACCTCTTGCGCTACCCGGCGAATATTTCGACGACTCCCTTCAGACGTTTTCAAAACCAACATCTCCTTTCGTCGAGGAACTCCGCCACAAAATGGCCCGGCTTAAATATGCAACTCCGCGACAGCAACCGGTGAATTCGTACATCCCTCAACACTTGCGAGATTGCAAATTCGTTTTCGTACGGAACGACGCCGTGAGACGACCACTCACGCCGGCATACCAAGGTCCTTTTCAGGTTCTTCGACGCACCGACAAGCACCTTACGATCAAGCGCGCCAACTCTACGGACGCCATCGCAATCGATCGGACCAAGCCTGCTTTTCTGGAGAAGCGACAGTATGACGCAAACCCGGCTCTGCGGCCCCCTAATGCTATTCCAGCGCACCCAACAGACGCAGCAGACGCAGCACCACAGACATCAAACGACACCCCAGCGACTCCTGTGCGGCAGACCCGATCCGGTAGAAGGGTCACTTTCCCTAAAGACCTTCGTAAATATTATTATTATTAATTGATATGATCAATTTTCTAGGGGAAGGGCTTGTCGCGGTCGCCGATTATCCGCTCCTTAGAAAGCCGACCTTGACCTTCACAACTCCCGATCTCGCAGATCTAGGTCAAGCAACATGCGAGAAACCGGACGGCTAGTCCAATATCGTTGATGCCAAACCATACCTAGTGTGCATCTGACTATGCAAAGCTATTCCAAACATCAGCAACCATAGACAGTAATTTATTATCTACGGTCTTCTACTCCCTCTAGCCAGGGAGCACTTGAACAAATCTTTTCAAATATTCTTAGCCACTTTTGTCGCCCAAAACGAAGCTGCTCGGCCCGGATCAAAGTGTAGTGTGCTACATACATTTTCCCTCTTGTCCTTTATCGATTGTCCGTACTTCCTCTCTGTGGCGACCATAAGAAGCCGCTCGAGCGCTCGCTATCCTCCATCTTATGGAGGGGACGCGGGAATCTGGTCGACAGAGAAGTCTGTGCACAACGTCCGTGTCATGGGGGGCTGGGAATGCCACACTTGCTGAGCCACAAACGTGCCTCGAGGTTGGCTTTCCTACGCCGCGCGTTGACAGGTGGAGATCCGATTATTGAGGGGATTGTGAGGGCCGCCTTCCCTCGCCTTACCATCAGTCCCCCAAGCTCGCGGGTGGATCGCCGTCGTAAACCCCGGGTTCAATCGGTTTTCTTTCGCGAGTGTCGGTCGGCCTTGTTGGCTGTCCCTTGGTTCAGTGACCTTTCTCGGCCTAGGAAGGTCTTCTATCGTTTGTTAGTGGAGGGGGTCGCGAAGGATCCCCTACGTGAGGATCTCGACTTGTCGGAGGAGGAGTTTCGCTCTTACTGGTCTTGGGCGCCAGCGGCGGATTATCTCAGTAACCCTGAGTTTTCGCTTACCTGGCGATTGGCTCGGAATCGGCTGCCTCTCAATGACAAGGTCTTCATATGGGGTTTGGCGGATTTGCCAGACTGTGAACGGTGTGGCCTTGGTTTAGAAGAAACGGCTTCGCACGCCTTCTACCATTGTCCCCGGTCCGCCCCTATGGGACCGTGTCGGTGAGCTGACGGCTCGTCTCGCTCCCGAAAAGCTTGTGCCCATTGATCGCGCATACGCGTGTGACAATGTGTCGCCCCCCGTATTCTGGGGTGAAACGGATGGTGTTTCTCACGCTGCTAGCCACGGCTCGAATGGTGATTTGGACGACGCGACAGGAGGAAGTCTTGCGAGGCAACCGTCTTTCTCATCAGGATCTGGCCCGATTTTTGAGCATCAGCTCAAGATGAAGATTAGAACTGATAGAAAACGATTGCATTCGACAGTCTTCAGCGAAAGGTGGGTGAAAGAGGCGAGCTTGGTTCGTTTGAACGGGGCTAGCCTTGATTTTCTCTTTTAGGTCAAGCCTACGTCACATCGGGGTGGTTTCCTGAGGAGCCCTCCCCCTGGTTAGGTTAGACAAGCTTTGGTGTACCTAGTTAATGTGAGTAAATGTTCCTGGCCACTTCTTTGGTTATGATCCAGTTTGAGATTCCCAACCTCCCCAGTTTGTTTTTGGTCCCCCCCTTTTTATCTCGTCTGGGTCAGCGTTATATTCTCCCATGCTCGTACGATTTTTCTTATCCGTTCCCCACACCCTTAGTGAGAGAGCTTCTTGATTTTGTCCCATGGGCAGAATACAGCGGCCTCTTTGTATTTGAGGGTTGGACGGGCCCTACTAACATCAGTTATGTTCAATTTGACTTATGTTTATATTTTCAGTTTATTATTGGGTTCATATCCCTCCCCTCTCATCCCTCATCACGAGATTTTTATATATATATACAATTATCATTAAATTTTTAATTGCATGGGGCACGTTTTGTAGGTCCCCCCTTGTGAGGATGTGGCATTATGGTGTAAGGAGGATTGTTTGGTGATGGATGAGTTCTTGTGGTGAGTGGGCAAATTGTAATGAGTGAATGGGTCGTGAATCGGATTAGCTAGGTATAGGATAGTCAGTGAAGACCAGCCTCAACCCCTCCCCTTTTCAGGCCTTGTGCCACAATTGTATTTTTCGATACAATAAATACATCAAAGTGTAGTACGCTGCCTTTGTGAACTTCCGGTGCTTTTGTCGAGAGTGTTACTCTTCGGCGCGATCCCGTCTCCACGGTCGATCCGCCCTGGAAGGTGTAACACCTCTCTGACCTGCTTCGCCTAGTGATACACTCTGGCGCGATCCCGTTTCCGCGGTTGATCCGCCCTGTGGAGTCGTATCACTGTGCTGCCTTGGCCCTGTTTAGGGACTCCGTCTTCGCCTGGTGATACACTTTGGCGCGATCCCGTTTCCGCGGTCGATCCGCCCTGTGGAGTCGTATTACTGTTCTGCCTTGGCCCTGCTTAGGGACACAGTCTTCGCCTGGTGATACACTTTGGCGCGATCCCGTTTCCGCGGTTGATCCGCCCCGTGAAGTCGCATCACTGTTCTGCCTTGGCCCTGTTTAGGGACTCCGTCTTCGCTATTCGGCCGAACCAGCTACGTTCGCCGACCAACCCTAAACTACCGGGCCAGACCAACTATATTCGACCGAACCAGCTACGTTCGCCTACCAATCCTAAACTACCGGACCGGATCAACTACATTCGACCGAACCAGCTACGTTCGTCGATCAACCAGTCATACCCGAA